GCCCAAACGGTGTGATGAACGCGGTGAGGTGCTTGCTCTCCTCCGCTATCGGCACATTCCAGAATCCCGAGTTCATATCGAGAGTTGTGAAGTGCTGACGACCTGCTGTGGCCCTCATGTGGTCCCATATTCGGGGCAGCGGATACGAGTTGGCATTCATGCTTTGGTTCACTCTCCGGTAATCCGAAACGCACCTCCACTCGCATGTCTTCATCACGAAGTGCGGCACGGCGGCCCACTCGCTTTTCGAAGGCCGGACGACTCCGAGCTTCAGCTGCTTCTCCACTTGCTTCCAGCAACTCGGCCGGCAACTCAGGCTCGAGATGTCTCAACCTCGCTTTGTGCGGCTTTCCGCTTGCCTCGAAACGCGCCTCGTACTTGACCCACGCCACCTTTGGGTTCTCCTATACGTCTCTGTATGCGGCCCGCAGATTCCACAGCTCATCCCTCAGGCTCTGGTCCAGGTGTCCCGCGCCCTCCACGAATACCTGCCGCTGCCTCTCGAAGGGATCCTCCGACCTACTACTGGTGGCTGCTTTTTGTACATCTCCGCAAGGCGTATCTCATCAACTGCGCCTCTCTGCGCCGCCAGGACCAACGCTTTCCCGGACCTTCTCTCAACCAAACCAAACCGTTCCAATTCTACCCTCCCCAGGAGGTTCGGAACCGACGGTTGGTCATGTACCGCGAACTACGTTGTCCGGCTCGCCGTGCACTGTTACCGGTACTCGCTCCGTCACGGGTAGTGATCCTGAACCCAGCACTGTGCTTGCTTGCTGTCGGCGCTGCGACATTCTTACGCCAGCGCGACTGCAATCCTCTCTCCTCAGCAGGCCGACCTCTGCGCCCGTATCCTGCTGGAACTCAATCTCGGCCCCCTTCACGAGGGCCGTTACCGAAAATTTCGGCCGTTACTCGACCCCCCCAGTTACGGTTCCCGCGACTCGTGGCTCCAGCGTCATGTCCTGTGTCGGCTCCTGCTGACATTTCGCGCCCCCTGTGTTTCCTCTTTCGTGCAGTACTTGATGGATGCTGCAATGTCGTGGCAAATTTCTACCTGTGTCATGCCTCCGAATTCCCGGCGTACTTGGTCAAAACTGCGTGGGTTCGTGAAGTATATGAATCCTTGGAAATGAAGTCTGCCCGTAGTGGGGCACATTTCTTGCTGGTATACCACTTGTATGTTGTCGGTAGGGGACAAGTTTCGGCATATAATTTGTTATCGCACGCTTGTCCATGTCTTCTGTCTTTAATTCTCCTTTTTACGTTTCTACTGTTCTTTTGGTTATTACTCTGCCTCTCCCAAAAAAGCCCCCTTTTTACCCCAAAAAACCCTTGCTATCTGTTACGTCGTTTTGGGGGGAGAATGGCGCCAGCTTTCACTTCTAACACATTAGAGTC